TTAAAAAAATCATTTGAGATCTTTAAGACGGTGTATCTCAATCTTGTAAATCATCTTCTCAAAAGTTGTGATAGATAATGCCTTAGCAAATAAGTTTGTCGGATTGTCACTTTGATGTACTCTTCCTTTAATAAAATTATGCAAGCGAGTATTATCTTCATATTATATTGTTGGAACTTCTTTTGCTGGTAAATAAACTACATGTCTCTCTAATATGATGAATCGTTAATCTTAGCTAAACACATTCTCAACTTACCTTACAAATTGCTACTTCTACATGATTTGAATACCCAAGCAACTACAGCTTGCTTTATAGAATGTCATGATATAGCCGTATCACTCAATATAAATACATAACCTATTTTTGATCGAGTTTTGTATAGATCGGATAAATAACTTGCATCCGCATAACTAATTAAACTCGATTTTGATTTATTTGAGTAAAATAAATACCATATCAATTTTTCCTCGAAAATAATGTAGAAAATGTTTAATTCCATTCTAATGTCTCCGTATTGGAGTAAAACTATGACTTACTAATAAATTTATAGAAAAGGCTATATCGAGTCGAGTATTATTAGTAAAATATATCAATACGCAAGTTGTACTAAAATATGATACTTCGTAACCATGTAGTTTTTTGTTATCTTCTCGACGCTCAAAAGGGTCTTTTTTAAATATCAAGTGAACAAACTACTATTAAGCTAGTCAATAGATGATCTTTGTATAGAATAATTATACAAATTTTTCTATATAAATTGACTAATGAATAAAAATATCATTCTCTAAGTGCTCGAACCGTAGGTCGAAATAAAAATTTCTTTTAAATTCTCCATATAGATAACTTATGGCACTTTGAATCACTTCAAGAGTTCCAATAATATTTAGATAATCAATATATATAGCAATTACCACAAACCCTTTTTTAAATTTCTTTATAAAAATAAATGAATAAATATGGTTATTTTTATAACTTTTTTTCAATAAATATTTATTGAAGTGATTATACCATATATACATAGGTTAGTAATAAAGAGTAGATATCAAAAAATAAAAAATAAAAATAAAAAGAATAGCATAAATTGAATTTCGAAAACTAAAATAATAAAATAAATACTAAAATAATTTTGATAGAGATCTCTATAATTTAATTTAATTCATTTCTCAAGAATATGTATTACATGCTTCGAGCATCTTGAGTCCTTCTAGGACTTCCATATAGATATCATTTTACATGAATAAATAAATTGTGATCACATTCATTAAATGCATGCATATGAAGTTTTTCATATATTTTTCTAGGCTAATGAGATAGCAAAATATAATTGTATCCATTACAGGAAAACATGTCTCCTCATAGTCGATGTCAAAAATCCTTATGTTACAAGTCTTGATTTATATATCATAATCTCATGTTTCTTATTCTGTTTTTGTAAAAATACTCATTTGTGAGCCACTAGCTTAATACCTTCGAGTGTTTTGACTATTAGTTTAAAAACTACTCATTTGTAAGAGAATATAATTTTATCTAGATTTTTTTTTCATTTAGACAAATCATCTCTATATCTAATTCTTCAATAAATTTAGGCTCGGAATCCTTATTTTTATTTAAAATATCAATTAAGACATTATATGTAAAAATCTTATCAATAAATATTTATTTCGATCCCATTCTCTCCCCGTATTGACATAATTTATCAAAATCTTTTGATTTTTCTCAAGCATTTAGACTTATTCCGAAGCTTATTATCGAAATATCTTGAACCATTTTATGAATATTTACATCCTTTATTTCAATTATTTATCTTTTTCTTTTGGGGATTTTCGCTTTTAGAACCGATGAGTCTTCCACGTTTTAGACGTGCTTTAAATTCATTTATTATAACATTAATATATTGTCCTTCTAGGACACCAATTTTTATAGGAGCATTCTCAAGCAGGGACATAAATTTTAGTTACTTTTTTAGGATCTCAAAATGCATTTAGCAGCTTGGTTTGTAATAACTTGTAAACGAGTTATATTCTGAACTTTTAGTTCACATTGTTTTATATCAAGTTGATATAAAGATAGAGTGCTCCATCTAATCTTTTTTTTCAATATTTTAAACTTTTTATTTTGCTTATTCTCTCCCTCGAATATTGAAAAAAATATTTCATCAAAATAACGAGTTGATAAATTGAGCTATAAAAATATCTCTTTTTCATAGTTCAAGATATTGAGTTATTAAAGAGGATTCAAATTCAACATATATTCCCAATCTCCTTTAAGTGCTCATTTTAGTTCATTATGAAGAAGCACTACGGATATATACTACAATATCAAAAATTCTTAAATAAAAAATATTTGGCTCATGACCCTTAACTAATTGAAAGGGAAGAGAATTTTTGATAATTTATGGGTCCGATGCGAATAAGTATTGTTGTATAAAAGATTATAAGATTACATGTCCTCAAACATAAACAACGAGTTTTGGATTTAAATAATGGTTTAGCTATCAATCGGATCCTTTTAATAAATGATTTTGCTAAACCTTTCGGAGTATGAACATGAGCAAGCAAGATGTCCAACCTTCATTCTAATAGCCAATCAATAATCATTTAATGCTTAGAAGAAAAATTCACCAATATTATCAAGGTGTATTATTTTAATGGTATAATTTAGAAATTATGCTTGTAATTGAATTATTTGGGCTAGCAATCTCGAAAACGTCAGGTTTCGAGTAGATAATAAATATACATGTGACCATTTTGTAGATGCATTTATTAAAATCATAAAATATTTAAATTGTACACATGATGGATGAATTGATCCACATATATCACTTTTAATATATTTTAAAAATACTGGAGACTCAATCTCAATTGTACTTGTGATGGCTTAATAATAAATTTACCTTAAAAATATACGTAACATGAAAATTTATTAAATTAAAGAATCTTCTAGCTCTTCAATAGATGTCCATATGAATTTTTAATAATTTTTTGCATCATGAAAGACCTAAGATAACGCAACCGGTCATGCCACATAATAAAAGTATTTGAATTAGTAAACTTTTGGTTTACTACAGTATTTGTTTCAATCATTCCAATGTTTGTAATAAAGTCCGTAAGAGAAAACGGGTAAATTTTCTAATACATATTTTCTATCCGGTGTAATGATTATAATATATAAGTATTCACATTTTCTATCTTGATATGATATCAATTTAGATGAATATCTTTGAAACTCAATAAATTTCTATGAGACTTTGAAGAGAATAATATATCATTTATAATAAAATTTATCATTTTAGATAATAACATATTTGCTTTTCTAGGACCTTTAAATTATGTCACTTCAAATAATAATATATCGGCTTCTCAAGAGCCTTTAAAAGTTGTCTCTTTAAAAAATAATATATTTACTCTTCTAGAGCTTCAAAAATTTATCTCTTTAAGTAATAATATATTCATTTTTTTAAAGCCTTCAAAATTTATTTCTTCGGATAATAATATAGTCGCTCTTCCGAAACTTTCTATTAGATTGATATTATCTTATATAATATTAACTTAGAATAAATAATTAAATAAATAAACACAAAATAAATAAATAAATTGTAAAATAAATTTATATTTATTTCTATACAATATAAATTATAAGAAAATATAAAACATCTTATTTATAAATAAAAAAGCTAACAAGTTATTAATTTCAATTACCACCTTTTCATATATAAAATTGACCTCTATATTTTACTTTTTCTTTTTCAACGAGGTTTGATACGGCTCAATGAGATACTTTGGTGTATAGCAAGTATGTGCACAATGTCCATTCATGCCACATTTATAATATTCATTTTCGAATGTCGACTTAATCCATTTTTATTCTTTTTTTTCATAGTTTATCCACTTTTGTTGGTAAGATATATTATTATGATCATCATGATCATAATAATAATTATTCCAATCACGTTTTCATCCATGTCCAAAATTATTATAAGTTGTCACATTCATTTCGAGAAATCGAGTAGGTCCAGCTTGGATGAGATTTATTCTTTTTCATCAATAGCTTGTTATTTTATTTAGTCATGAACAAGTATAAAATCAATTCAGAATATTTTTTAAACTTTTTTTTCTTGATATGCTACTATAGGAGTATATTCATGACATAAAAAGTAGATAATATTTACTCAAAGCATCGACGCTTATGATCAATAATTCTTGCCCAAAATGTCAAGGGCCACAAAATCAAATTTTGTGACTTGACGTGATAAAAATTCTATAATGCAAATAATAATAATAATAGGAAAAAAATGTAATAATAAAATTTAAATAAACAAATATTATAACAAAATTTAAACTTTTTCAACAATATATATTAAATCATTAGATTCTATATATTAAATCATTTAATTTTTTCAAATGTATATTCTATGTATCATTAGATTTAAAGTACATGATAAATTAGATATATACCTCTTAATGAACTAAATAATTATATCTTTTGGTAAAACACTTATATAGAAGAAAAATAATTGATTAAGTCTTTTGATAGATATATACTTCATGGTTTATTATCTAGATTTGTTAGAGCTTCATGCTAATAATGTGTTATGAAAGAAATAGTAACAATAGTATAATTGAAGAGAAAGATGATAGAAAAATAAATTCACTATAAGATAAACCCTTTGTTTGGATAGGGAGGAAAACGAGAGGAAAGGAAAGAAAATAGGGAGAAAAGAAAACTTTCCTTCGTTTGTTTTGAGAAAGGAAAGTAGTGGAAAGAAAAAAAATAATAAACAATTTACAAATGGTGGGACCTATTTTCCTCTCAAAATTGGGAGGAAACGAGGAGAAAAGGGTGAGAGAAATCTTTTTTTTTGCATTTTTGCCCTTGCAGTCGTCCCCTTCATTTCCTCTCTACATAACGGATCTACGGATCTAGTGAACCTTGCATTACTTCATCCATTCGCATAACAAATTTTCTTTCCTCCCTAGTTCATATGAGAAAAAGCGTCTCCATGGGTGTTTCCAAGCGTGGAAGCTTACACCCATTCGCGGTTCATGTGAAGATGAGAATGGTGGCCAAAACGAATGGATTGAGTGAAGGTTCCTTCCAAAGTGTGGACAGATGACAATCAAGTGACGACCTCGAGGGTGAAAGGGAATGAGTAAGTGTCGGGTCGTAAGCCAACAAGCTCGGATGTTATTGTAAAGGAAGATATAAGATTTAAAGTGGGGAGGAGAGCAAGAGAGAGCACCGATGATGGTGTTGTAAAGATAGATATCGAGGGAGTGGGTAATGGAGGCGAAGATAGAATAAGCATAGGAAGAGAAGCCGAGAGAAGAGTAGGCATGAATGAATCGGCTAAGGAGGAGGTTGTATGTATCGAGGGCTCGAGAAACATGAAGGCATGTGTCTAGTGGATGTGTTTGAGATTAAAGGGACAGGTGAGTAAGGAATTCAAAACCGATGATGATGATGAAACAAGGGAGGTGCAGGCGAGGAGGAGCATTTCTACTTTGCTTTGCTTGGAATTCAATCGACCACCCCGAACCTCAGCTTTGCCCCGATCCATAAAGGGAAAGACAGTAAATTCCTTGGTTTATACCCCAATTGTTTAATTAATGTATTTACTTTATTATCCCAAAACAGAGTTATCTCAAAACAAAACAGAGTTGTTTAACTTCGAACTAAAACTCAAACTCATGATTGTTAATTGATGTTCCAAACAAGTAAGTTAGCTAGTCGATCGATTGGTGAGTGAGTGAGAAAGAAAAAAAGTGGGGGAGAATGGGTAATGAGTGAGTAAGAAAGCTATTATTACCACTAACAAGTCAAAAAAGTAATAATAAATAGCAGTAAGTAGTAAATATTATGAAGATAAATTAGTCCGATCAAGACTTTATTCGAATCTAACAACTAACTAAGTATGATATATATATATATATATATATCAAAACACATAATACCGATTATTTATTATTTTTTTTATGTAATGAAATTTGTATTTTTAAATAAAATAATTTAAATAATATTTTGAAATAACCTTTCAATTATTCAAATACCAATTTTTATGGTAATATTATTAATTATTTTGTTAATAGATATATATAAATTAAGTAATCTTGTTCAATATATAGATTCGATTTACACTAATCACTAGAAACAAAACTTTTATTCACATTACACCATACGAATCGTTAATCCAACATATGTAATGATAAACAAGTAAGAATCAAAGCTAAAACTTAGGGGCATGATTTATTTTTGCATATTAGCCCATGATTGTACATAAGAAATTGTCATCATTTCACTCCTCAACCCCTTCACATTTTTGGATGTTGTACTTGGGAGACCCAACACCTCCCCCTAAGCATCAAAACTAGCTCTCAAATAGCTACAAACAAGCCCCAAAATACTTTAAAAAAATAGGCCTAAAACTAACCCCAAAACAAGCCCAACACCTACCTAAAGCCTTCAAACTCACCTCGAAACTATTACCAATAGCTCCCAAAACCCTTACAGAGCAACCCTTTTGGACATGTCATTTTAACCACCAAAGTAGCTCAAAAAACACCCCCAAACTAGCTTCAAAACCACCTAAAAAAACCTACCAAAACGAGATAAAAAAATTCATCAAAACGAACCTCTTGAAAACTTTTTGGAGTTACTGCAAAAGAAGACATAAAAATTATTATTAAAAAAAAAAAAAAGGCTAAACATATTTTTGTGTGTTGGATTGTTGGCAACCATAATATGATGTTGTAGGTTGCATTTGACCGAGTATTTTTGATAGGAAAATAAGCAACAAAAGCTACCTTGGGCTTTCGTGAAGTTTGCAAATTTTACAAGAATTTGGAGTGTTCACTCGAGTAACGGGTTATGGCTATCCGTCTAAATATGCAATTTATCTCATTTTGTATGATTCAATTAAGTTTTCATGATTGTTCACAATGCTACAATATACTTTCTTTTTTTTTAATTACTAAATAGTAATTTTTTAATCCAAAAAAAAAAAACCGAGCAAATGATCCGTAAAAGCAACTAACTTATTATATGCATAGATAATAATACATGTTATATATATATATATATTTAAATTAATTTTATGTTGATAATTAATCTAAATTGGCTATTGAATTAATTAATTAATAAACGAGTTATCGATTATTATATGGAGACGATTCATTATCCATCTTATCATTTCGGATAGATGCTACATACTAGATTTTTATTTTATTATCATTTATGTTATTTTCATGAAAAAAATATTCATACAAATTTATTATAAGTATTTAAATATACAAATATAATCATAGAGATATTATAGTAAATATACAATAATACATTTTATTTCCTTCCTCTTTTTACAATTATCCAAACAAGAGAAATATATTTTCTTTCATTTCATTTCTACTCTTATCCAAACAACAAGTGAAAAATAGTTTTCCTTTGTCTCTCTTTTCTTTCCTCTCTCTTTTCTTTCCTCCCAAGAGGAAATATCCAAACAAAGAGAAATTGAATATAAAAGATAACAATTTCAAATAATCTCTCAATTTTTACAAAATACTTGTATATAAAATAATGAACAATCAAGCCTATTTATAGGTTTTAAGATTAAGAAGAGAATTGAAAAGGATTATGAACCATTAAAAAATGTATAAATAATTGAATAAATTGCATCATCTTTTTTAATTTTTCATATTGAATTGTGAAATATAAATAGTAGGGAATATGAAATGAATATTTATTATTTTATAACAATAACACAATTATTGAAAAAAATTAATAAAAAAATATGATTAAAAGAAATAAAATAGGTCTAAATCAGAAATCAAGAGAACGTAAACTCAGGTAGTATTATATTGAATCCTTGAAAATCATTACAGGAACCCCGGCCTGTCGAAATTTTGATGCGGTTTGAAACTTTTTTATCAATAGAAAATCTCGAATGGTTTCTCAAAATTCGCAAAATGAGTGAGAAATTAATTGAACTAAATAGTGAAGGAATTATAATTATTAAAGTTTCTTTTAAAATTCTAACTTATCTGTGTAATTAGAAGGAAATAAAACCCACGTTTTGAAGAAAGTAAACAACAGACGAAGGAAACTGTGAGAAACTGAGAGAAGCCAAGCCGTTATGATGAAACTATTTGATGCACACTGTCACCTGCAAGACCCCAGAATCCTTGACAAGACACCTCAACTCATTGCCACTGCCCTTGATACTGGCATACTCCGTTTTGCTGTTAATGGGGTCTCCGAGGTGCATACTAAATATACCCATCTCTCTCTTTTTTGAAAAAAAAATTCGTCTCTGTAATGATTTTTAACTGTTCACGTCTTAAAATCTTGTGGGTTCTGACTCTTTTGTAGAAAGATTGGGACTTGGTTAAAGAGATGGGTGAGAGCTATCCGTCTGTCATCCCCTGCTTTGGTCTCCATCCCTGGTAAGTGTAAAGATCCTCTCTTCCTTTCTATTTTTTTTTTAATCAAATTTCGGCACTTTTTGTTTTCTTCTTTGATCTTTGTGCTCATAGTTTTTTTTTTTTTTTGGTTGGGGGGGGGGGGGGGGTTTGGAATTTTATCTATTTGTAGGTTTATTGAGGAGAGGACTCCTAATTGGTTCAACAAACTTAAAGAGTTGTTTGAGACCACTCCCTCTGCTGCTGTTGGAGAGGTTAAGTTCCCATTTCCTTGCTGTTGGTAGAATCTTCTAAAAGCATAATGCTTAAGAGAACCTTTAATTAACTCAGCATGCAAATGAACTTTTTCAGATTGGTTTGGACAAGGGTTCATATCGAAAGAAGATTGATTTCAATGATCAGGTTTTGCTCGTGGAGTTCTTCTTCTTCTTCTGTTGTTACGCACTCAATTAATTTATTATATTCTTCATGGCTTAGTATCATTCAATGATTTTTCGTTTGGCCACTTAGTACCTGATCTCTGTCACTGGACCTGAAAGAAATTCGTCCTTAATTGTATACATTGTAGGAGATATGTAGGAGCATGTGCACCTCAGGCGTCAAATTAGTTCAATTTGCATCTATTAACTAGGAGAATTATATATATTAAGGCACATTAGTTGGGAGCTAATTGGAATTACCTGACAAACATGCACACATTTAGTTTTTGGTTTATATTACAATCTATTATTTTCTAGATGGCCTTGTTTTTTCCCAGTGAATGTGAAATATATCTTGTTCCTTATCGCCTTAGGGTTTGCAAAGGTTGCAATTTCTTGCAAACAAATTACTTATGATGCTGTTGCAGTGCTTTTGAGAGCTTCTTGAAATTGTTTGATAAAAATATTACTTATACTATTTCAACACCTATATATGCCTGCTCAGAAATGCTTTTGTCACTTTACTTTGGCACCCCTATGGACATCTTGTCTTTTTTTATAATTTATGCATCACGTACCTGTCCAAATAAATTATCGAGGAAAAACATCTATCCCTATTGCTGGTGTACCTATTCAACTCTGTCATGCTATATTTATTTCTAAATCTGTCACCAATTAATGTTGTTTCATGCAACATTTTTAACATCCGAATTGTCCATTCCAGGTTCAAGTATTCCGCAGACAGCTTGAACTTGCAAAAGAGTTGAATAAACCAGTATCTGTCCACTGTGTTCGTGCTTTTGGTGATCTTCTTGAGATAATGAAGTATGGAACTATATTTTATTTCTGTTCCACTGAAAGATATTATCCAGATCAGTGATGGTAGTATGATTGAATCTTTCTTTTCAATGTAACCTATGCAACATGGAGTGATTGTTTAGGATCATAGATAGGTATTCAGCATGAAAATAGGTACATGTATCTTGCTGAATGAGTGCCTGTATTGCAACATTGTATTCTATCATCTATACGCATGTCAATTTAGAAAATTTGGGTCTTGATGCCTGTACGATGCTATGTCATTAAAGTGTAGGTTGGCATGGACAAGTTAGATACATATTTCTTTCCATGTTTAATCAAAATGAAAAGTTCTTTGGTGTCATTAACTTTGCTTCAACGAGCTGTCATCAACCTTGCTCGTGGCCTATGTTGCATCTAATCTGTAATGATGTGAAGTCATTAGTAGTTGTTTCTTAATGTAGTTTAACAATTTTTAATTACATGCTGAATCTTTAGAAGTACAGGACCTTTCCCAGCTGGTGTCATTCTTCATTCTTTCCTTGGTTCTGCTGAGATGGTTCCTGAGTTTGCCAAGCTTGGTGCTTACTTTTCATTTTCTGGGTTTCTCATGTCCATGAAAAAACAGAAGGCAATGAAAATGCTGAAAGCGGTTAGTTAATCAATTGCATTTTTTGTTTTATATGTTAAGAAATTCAAAGTCTTAACTCCAACCTTTTGCAGGTATCTTCTGATAGGATTTTGTTGGAAACAGATGCACCTGATGCCCTGCCAAATGCAGATTTTGGTTCCTTGTTTCTGGTTGATGGAGGTATTTTTCATCCTGAAAGGATTCGTTCCGAAGGAGAAAATTCTGCTTCAAATGCTGACAGTCTCCATGATGATGATTCCCATCCTTCGAAAGATGCATCAGCATTGCCAAGAGAAACACCTAATCATCCTGCAAACATTCACAATGTATGTAATTTGCTTGTCCCTTGAACTCATTAATTGACAATGCATAAAGCAAATAAGGTCTGTCTTTTACAAGTGCTTATCTTGGTAAGGGTCGGTTCATGCATAAATGCTGAGATTTTGGCTCTCAAAACCACCTATTCCTGCTTGAGCTGACCTATTCCTGGGACTTGGAATTTCATATCCTTTTAATTTCATGTATTTTCATTATATTGGCTCTAAAAACTTACGAGTTAGAGTAATGACCCCTTTTAATCAATATATTCGTTTTTTTTCTTGTCTCCACCACTTGCACATATCTTATTCAATGTAACTTACATTTATGTGCCTGAGACTTGGTTCAAAAATAGGTCTATATGTATGCTTTGGATTTGAGACCATTATTTGTTAAATGTAAAATGTATTTTAACAAATTTCTGTTACTTCTCCAGGTCCTAAGTTATGTCGCATCCTTACTAGACACCACCAGAGAAGAACTTGCAGAACTGAGCTATGCAAATGCAGTACGTCTTTTCTCTTATGAAGGTTCCAAGGTATTAGAAAAGTAGCTCAGTTATTGAGAACGTAAAATATTGTACCTGTTACTTGAATGATTACTTTCTATCTCAGTTCCCTAATAAGCAAATGTATCAATAAATGCTGAAAGGCTTGTCCTGGATTGTGCCAACATTCTCGAAAGCAACGTATAAGAGTCTTCTTCCTCTATAACACTTGGATTTTGTATCTTGCATCAGTGGTAGCTTCAAAAATTACCTGCTGATCACTTTGACGATATTGATGTGAGTGACGATATCGACCGTGACCTTGATACGGAGCTGGAGCTTCTAACTAGATGAATGCACTAACTATGGATATGATGCCTAAGTCAAACCCAGCTGCAAATGCTTCAGTAACATGAACTATTGTTTCTGTGTCAGTAACTCCTAATTTGTGCATCTTGCATCACTTTTTTGGTAACCTCAGTAGCTTTCCCTCAGTTGCTCTAACTGAAGCTCATCTAAAAACTGTTCAACCAATTTCAAGTGACCCACTTTGGCTGTTGACATGCTCCATTTCAGGATGTCATGAAAAAACATGAATTTTGCATTTCCTTTTCCAACGGGCTAAGCCTTGTGGGGTGGGTATGAAAACCAGGAATGGCAGGCATGTGAGGTGGAAAGGTAGAGCTTTCTTTAAAAAAATTTTTTTCCTCATTTTTTTCCTTCCTTTCTTTCGTCAATATATCCGTGCTAACTTCTTTTTTGGTTGACCTTCTCCATATGGTATGAAATCCCAGCCACATTTTAACACAAGTAATACTATGAACAATATATTTTTTTAATAATATGGAGGGAACAGTACCTTCCCAATTATCTGCAAGAAAATGATGAGACAGTAAAATAAAAATGAATTTTAATTGTTCAAGAATTATGGAGTTAAGCTTAAATCACTCTTAACTCTTGCACTTGAGTTCTTTACACTCGGATTAATTCATCAATGGCATAAAATAAGAATTTTTTTATTTTATTTTTTGAATCAAAAATAAAAATAGACTTATTTATGGTGAAAATTAAAAAAAAAAGGGTTATTTCTACTAAAATAAAACAACATCGATTATTAACATTCTCCAAACAAATTACACACACACACTAAAAAATTGGTTTCATTCTAGATAAAAAAATAAATAAATAAATTGAAAACAAACTGTTTTGCTGCTGGTTTGAATTTGACTGAAAAAAAAAAAATGGAAGAAAGAAAATCAGAGAGCCTTTATTTTTGCCCTCCTTATTTTAAGAAAACACTAAATTAAAAAGGAAGAGGGAAAAAAAAAAAAAAAAAAAAAAAGGGCAGGCGACTTTGTACGTAATTTTCTCAACAAATCAAATCAGATAATTCAAGTAACAGAAGTGCACTTGTTTAGGGGGAAAATCTTTTTGAGAGTTGAACGTTGAGATTTTTTTTTTGGTTTTTCAAGTTTTCTGATGAACCAACGAGACAACATAAACCGAAAATAAAAAACCCTACAGAACCCAGGGTCTCTATCTCTAGTTCTATACTGGTGTTCGTAAGATCAGAACTTCAACAACTACTCTACTTCTGTCACACAAAGCAACTGAAACTAGGAGTGTCCCCAGATGGCCAATAGAGATGAATCATCTTGGTAATCTTCTCCTTCCTTCACTGTGTTCTCTGTTTCCCACTTTTGCATCTTTTCTAAAATCCTGTGATTATTTTCTAAATTTTGTTTCATTCCCTCTGCATTTCAGGTTGTCCAAGTCTCCATCCCCATCAGAAGTTCAGCTCCATGTACGTGGCGTGCCTTTCCATGTAGACAGAGTAAGCTGATATGCCAAAATTAAATAAACTGCCTGGTTCTTCAACTTTTTTTTTTTTCCTAACCTTATTAATAAAATTTATTCTGCAGAAGTATAGATTGGAAAACCATATGAAGTCTTTCTTCGGTTTATCATTTCTTTTTTCTTTTTAATATATCTGCGGGTCTAATTTACATTTGTTTAGGATCTTCTGTCTGCAAGATCGGCCAAAATAGCTGCCCTGCTCAAAGAAAATCCTACAGAAAAGCTTGTTTTTCTTCCCCGAGATATTCCTGCTGATCCAGAAACCTTTGAGCTTGTTGCTAGATTCTGCCACGGGTATGAACTGATTTTGTCCACAGAAAATGTCATACCACTCATTTCTCTTGCTTACTACTTGGAGATGACTGAAAGTCACAGCGAAAATAATCTGCTGGACAAGAGTCTTGTTTTTTTGGAAGATAGAGTCCTTTCTAGCTGGAATGAAACCATCAAGGCTCTTTGTTCAGCAAGCAGTACCCTTCAACAGCATTCTGGTTTGGTTGACGCATGTTTAGAATCGCTTGTTTACAAAGCATTGGCTGATCCCCGACTTCTCGGAGAACCAATCAAGAATTCGTCGTATAATGAGGATAGTGAGGATGAGGAGGTCTATAGGCCAAATGCTAGAAGAAAACTTTTTGCTCCTGATTGGAAATCAGAGGATTTGACTGCACTGTCCCTTCAGTTATATGATCCCCTCATGCATGCAATGAATCAGCATGGAGTCCCAACAGAATATGTTGCAGCATCTCTTTGTCAGTACGTAAAGAAGTGGGTCTTTTCAGCAGAGAACGAGTCCATTTACAAGAGGGGTGTAATTGAAGCAGTGGAAAGGCTTCTGCCTCCTGAAAAAGGAATTCTTCCTTGCACATTGTTGTTTGAAATGCTCAGGTTTGCTATCTTCCTGGAATGCAGCAATGATTGTAGAAGCGGTTTTGAGATTAGGATTGGGAAGCAATTAGACCATGCGGAAGTGAAAGACCTCTTAATACCCTCTCAAGGTTATTCCAAAGAAATCCAATATGATATTGAGTGTGTGAGGAGGATTTTGAAACATTTCTATGCCAACTACATCAGTACTAATGTTTCAGGGATAATCTCAGTGGCAGAACTTATTGAAGAATTTTTGATGGAGGTTGCAAGCGACATAGATTTGAGGATAGACACATTTGTTTCCTTAGCTGAGATGTCAATGGCAGCATCATTAGGCACGCAAAGAAATTCCGATGGAATATACAGGGCCATTGACATTTACTTGGACAAACATAGATATTTGACAGAGCTGGAAAGAGAGGAGGTATGTAGGGTGTTAGATTGCCAAAAAATGTCACCTGAAGCCTGTGAACATGCAGCAAAGAATGAAAGGTTGCCGGTTAGGTTTGTGGTGCAGGTGTTGTTTGTGGCGCAGTTGCAGTTGCGCGACACAATCACAAAGGAGGTTCAGGTTTTTGATGATACATTGAGAAGAGAGGTTGTGGAGGATGAGGAGAATGAAGTGAAGGTGGGTTTTGATGAGGAAGAGGTTAGGATTGAAATGGAGAAAATGAGCATCAAAGTGATGGAGCTAGAGAGAGAGTGCTGCACAATGAGGCACGAAATAGAACATGGTTTGACCCATCAGAAGTCAAAAAAGGGGAAAGTTAGCATGTGGAGAGAATTGAAAAGAAAGTTGGGGTGCGTGAGTAGCACTCATGATTGTAACTGCCAAGTCCAGAAGAAGAAGAAGAAGAAGAAGAAGAAGATGCATTCAAAATACTGAGTATGCCTTGTAGATTGAGTTTTTTTTTTTTTTTGTAATTTTTCGCCATTTTTAGTTTTATTTTTTTCTAATTTTTTATATTCTCAAGACCATATTCCTTCTTCAGCTTGACCGGATCATTTCTGGTCACATCATTCAATAAGAAAACTTCAACTAATGAATTTTCTTGCAGTGTTTAGATTTACCTTCCAGTAGTGAATTTATTTGGTAGTGGTTAGACTTTAAGCTTAGTGACGGGTGACACAATGAAAGAGATACTGAAACAGTTGCTTTCGCAGAAGATTGCAAGAAAAAGGTTGTCGCATTCAGCAATCTGCAAATCACTGTTATGGATAGTTGCATTGCCCCATATTCTGTGTTGAACTAATACTGGAATTTAGATGTAATTAAGCATCTGTACCCCAGCAAATTAACAAAAGGCTAATTAATAGCAAAGAAGTATCTGTGCTCTAGTAATTTCTTACTGCCAGAAAAGTTCATTGATTGAAGCTTGCATAATAGTTTGCCTTGGATTCAATACGGTTTGAACTGTTTGCCTCTATTAGATCTCTAGTGGGAGCATTCACTGATAGTGATTTTCGCTGTTATAGGCGCATTACCACCCTTCATTTCTGGCAATATTTCTTTTGCTTTCATGATCATCCATGTGTTAGGCATGCAGGCTAAGAAAGGTGGATTCTTGCCAAATCCTCAAGCATAGATACAAAATCAGAAACAAGCTATTAAGAGCTTTTATGACTACAAAGGGTTAAGAGTAGGAAGTTATGATCATCAGGCAATTGCAGACAAGGACAAGTTGGCAACAGATCTGCCATGAACTGATTCACTGCAAGCACGAACTTTTTTTTCATATTTCATGATTGTGTGCATTTGAGAAATTCTTTACTTGCTAGGTAAATTGTTCAACTCATCAAAATGGTGGAACACCTTGAAGGAGTGATAAAATCCATCCGAAGAAAGAAAGAAAAAATTACATAGCTATCAATTGAATGTCTCAACCTACCACAAAAATTACTATAACATATATCAAAGAAAGAAAGAGTTTAAAATAATTATTTAAAACGGTCACGTGAAAAAAATTCAAAGAATAGAGAAACCAAAACATATATAATATTACTGATTTGATGTTGTTTGATACAAATATGTATAATAACTGATAATTAAAATAATAATGTAGTATAATGAGTTTTTTTCAGTCTTATTCTTCATAAACACTTTTTGGCTTTTAGTAATTTTTTTTCCTATTTCATGATCTTTATTTTGTTTTAATCGTTTAAATTTAAATGTGTGTAATTTTTATCTTTATCTTTTACTATATGGATTCTGAAATAGTTTGCTAAAAACAAACAAAAAAATTATTTCTCGTAGAGACAAAAATCAAATATAATAAAATTTCAATAATTAAAATAAAAGAAATATTACAAAATAGGGATTAAAATAAACATAAAAATCACTAAAGTCAAAAATAGGGGTTTAGCTACTGTGAAAGTTTATTTTGTTTTAGAATATTTATTAATTAATATTAGGCCATATACCTTAATTCGTTGCTTGCCAAAACATTTTCATTTCTCTTTACTTACTGGTTCCGAAGGTCCATTCCTCCATTAAATTCAGTAATCAATGGCCTAATAAATTAGAACATCATCCTTGTTCCTCTGCCACTTTCACATTTTGGGGACTGCAAAGAACGTTAAAAGGGATCATCACTTTCCCTCTAATTAACTGAATTCTCCCCTTCATGCTCAATTCCTGAATGCCCTTCCATGCTTTTACGTTCATCTTGGTCACCACTATCGTCATCGTCATTCTCATTACTCACAACCACCACCCTGCCGAAATGCACGTGGCGTGAGCCATCCGAAGAAGGCCTTTGGGGCTCATCATCAAACGGTGGATTCCTTGGTGATGATGCAGCAGCAGCAACTTCTCTGCGGGAAAATGGGGATCCTAAAGGGGATGTGCATGGTTCAGAATTTGTATAGCCAACAGGTCTAATGCATCTGTAAATGCAGGTCAGAAACCAAAATGCCCATGGTATGGCGACAAGAATCATTCCTGCGATAGAATACCACCAGTTTACATTGTTTTCGGGGAGAAACATGTAAAGAGCAAGAAGAACTCCACCAGAAACAAGGCATGCAAAAAATAGAGCTATGACAATGTATATTCTCGGATCTCCTTTCTTTTTCTCCATTGAAGGCAATATCGATCAACTTTGTTTTCTTCTTTCTGGTGGGGGATTGCTGTGGATTTTGAAGGGATTGTTTTGCACTACATCAAGGCTCAAAGGTTGAAACCAGGAAGGTTTGATAGTCTAACATAATTTCTTTTGTTAAGAATATGTGATGTTTTTGGTATGACCGTTAACCAGCTATGTCTATGATCTATAAGAGGTGTGTGGCTCCCCAAAAAGGAGGAAGTGCCAAGGAAAAAGAAAAAATCAGCTTAGCGAAAAAATGGTAATATTAACAGATAGAATGTTTTCACTATTCCGTTAGGAAATGGAGAATGTTGACTGTGGTGGAAATTCCACATCAATTAAGAATAAAAACTTTAAAATGCTTATGTAAGAGAAGGATTAATGATTCATTAGTTTAAATTTTAGAGTTGAAATGACATTCATCTTTACACGTAAGTATCCATATATATATATATAAGTGGTCTTGCATTCGAATACTTGTGTATGCATAAAACTTCTTGAGTAGTTTTGTCCGTCTTGTGCGTTCGATCCAATAACAAAGAATTAGTATAGGCTAGTGGCGAACGCATAACCAAGTGTCTATGGAAGCCAAAATAAATATTTATAAATTTATCATGGTTTATACAAACTTATATATATTATAAATAACATAGTAACATATATTTTAAAATAGTCTCAAAATACAATCACTCAAAATAGAAATATCATTACTTCAAGGCATGAAAATAATCTATAAGCAAATTTCTATTAAAATTTTCAACAATTTCTTTTTCAATATATACTAACAAGCAATCGAAAAAAAAAAAATCATCTTCTATCTTATTATGAAACTTAGTTTTGACTATACTCATAGCTGAAAATAACCGCTCCGTGGTAGCCAAGTAGATAATTTTTAAATTTTCTTCTTTTCATCAGTCATTGACACAAATTAGATATAATAGTAATAGTAATATTGAGTGAATTATAAGTTAGTCCATCAAGTTTTTTTTTTAATGGATTAATTAGTTTTCTTGTTCCAAAAACAAATTATTTAGTTCTTGTATTTTAAATTTTCTTGTAATTTAATATTTTTTGTTTTTTAATATATATATATGAGTTAATGAAAAGATAACATTTTTTGAAATAAAATAATGTAAATTAAATATGATCACCAGTCGAAAAACTAAATAATTTTTTAAATTCATCGTAGTAATCTTAAATTGAAATTATTAAATCTTTATATCTTAAAGAAAATACAGCCCAAATGAAAACCTAAAATCAACTAGGTTATACGATAATAATGTCAGTTCAAAACAGATGCAATAATAGAGAGGCCGAAAACTTGACCTGAACCATTACCATTTCCGTGTAAATGTAATCCTTTTCAATGAGCTACAAAGAAAGCAAAAATTGGAGGGGGGCAGGGCTACTGTAACATTCAACGCGGATCAAGCCCTAGTCTAGGCCTTAGGCCTAGAATACCTTAGAAATTAAAAAAAAAAATTATATATACATATATAATTAAAATGTGCATGTATTTAATAGCGAAAAAAAAGTTAATTTGGTATATAAACAGTGCAAATTACCCTTTTAAAACAATAAATTTCAGTATCTTTGAAAGAAAATTAACTTTGCAAGTCTATCTGCCTGCATATTTTTCTAACTTGGAAACATTGCCTAAATGACAAAGGAAAGGCTCAATGAGGAAAGAGTGCTCTTTCAACGGCAAATGACAAATGGAGGGGGTGACGGGTCTGTATACGTAAGAAATTAAGAATTGTTCATCAAATTTCATTAAAAAAGAAAAAAGAAAAAGAATTGCTCGCCGAAAGCACATGTGTGAGAATTGAACAAATCATCAGCTGTTGTCTCGATCAAAAGAAGCAAAATAATCGTTATTAAATGATTTTTAAACATATGTCTTAGAGCGGATTTGTTTTCAATTATTTTTTTCTTTTTTCATAAATAATAAAATATTTTTGAATTAATTTTTACATCAATCAAAATTAAGTTTATTAATTTTTGAATTAAATCAATGTTAAAACATGTCTAATATTTATGGATTACTGAATAACATGTTAAACCAACCTAATTTAATATAATTAAAAAATAATTATAACTAATTACCTATAAATAATAAAAATTAAATTTTATAACTTCTTATCACTGGATTACTCCTCTTCGCAGTCATATGTTTCCAAATAATCGTTTAAAATACAAAATTTAAAAATATTTTTGATAGTTACACTAGTGTAGACTTAAAATTAATTTTGAAATATTCAAATGCTGACAGCGCGACAATATCTTTGTGATAAAAAAAAAAAAAAAAATTACATGAGATGCGCAGGCCAACTGCAACCAGCGTTAAGAGTAACGGATACGCATTCCCACGCGGATCCAGGGAAGCATAAAAGGAATGGTAGGATAGAATAATTGATTTCTTCATACTTTTCCTATGCTAAAACTACGCAAATCAAATTGCAAGGCGCATTGAGTTTTTATCCTACAACAAGGAATCACATCCAAAGGTCCCATGTGAAAAGTAAAATAATTAATTTCAACTTTATGAAATATATTTATTAGTGGAAGCTGATTGGGATTATCTGACAAATTTTATTAATGACTAACAATACTTGATTCGTAAAGCGATAGAATAAAAAAAAAAAAAGAGAGAGAGAGAGAGAAATAGAAAAAATTATATATAAAAAATAAATCTAGGTTGAAATATTTTTTACCCCATCTGCCTCAAAGAAACAGTCTCTTTTTATAGTTTTAAATAATTGAAGAAATTTTTAATGAAAATATTATATGTATTTTTTAACAATACTTTTCTTCTTCTTTTTTTGTTCAAAGAGGAGAAAATATATATCCAATTTAATTGATTATTATAAAATAAGAGTATATAAAAAATACAATATTAAAAATTTTGATTAAACAAAGAGTTTGAGACATATATAAATAAAATGAGGATTTTTTTTGAAATAGAAAGAATATTACTTTTGGTGAATTAAAAGATAATTTTATTTTTCTTATTTGTGTTTGCTCATGTTCTCAAAATAGATTCATGGGTTACGATAAACTATTGTAAGTAATTCTTTGAATAATTTAAATTATTTTAAATTATTTTATTATTACATTTGGCTTAATGGTTATTTGGTGTAAATATGTTTTAAGTTTTGTCCTCATTTTTTGGGGTAAGAAGGGAGGATTAAGACTTCATGTAAAAAGAGAAAAAAATGTATAATCATTTCAATATTAATGCATTGAATACCAGAAGCTAAATGTTGTAAAAAAAAATTAATATTATAGGCTAGGTTAAACAAAAATTATTACGTATATCAAAAACTCATGTTTTTATTAGATAGAAAATGAAAAAAATTAAAATAGTAAAAAAATAACTAACAATATTTATTTCATAAATCTACACAAAAATAGAAAGAAAATTGCATCAAACACTCTATAAATCCATTTTAAGATGAAAGATGGATCAAAAAAAAAAAAAATCACATCTAAACCTATTGAAATGATATAAAATATTTTTCTTAGACTTAGTTTTTTTTTTAATTGTCTTTCATATTTCTCTATTCTTTTTGTGTTTATCTTTTTTTTAGTATTTCTAGAGTAAGATAAACTTTCTCATATAAAAATATAATTTTTGGTATGTTGAATAATTTTTTCGATCTAAAATAATCAAGTACAGATTTTTTTATTTTTATTTTTTTAGATCTGTCAGTTTGAACCGAAAAAATTAAAACCAACACCTACAGATTATCTCAAGTCATCTCTGCCAAATTCTGATCAATTTTTTAAGACGCGTTACCTGTAATAATGCCACCGACCGAGAAAGTGAGGACTTCTCACCGTCCAGTTGACGATAACGCCGTGGAACAAACAGCAACCGAAGAACCGTTAGGTACTCCGTCAACGTCCATAGGATCCCAAAACCTCCCTACCAACTGACCAATAACAAATCAACACGTAGTAAAAGATATAGCTGGTAACCATCCAATCTGAGATATTCGAATATACGTGGATGCCATGAGCTTTTCAAATCACTCTGAATGGAAAGCTGAAACGTAAGATTTTTATTTTAGGGATAATTACAAATAAGTCCAGTGAAAACTATTTTTTAAGTTCCCAACCAACAAATTGTAGAATTGAGCCCTACTCAGTTTAAATCTAAAAATTGAAACCGAAATATTTTTTATTCTATTTAAAATAAAAAATTGAATTATCTTTTTTGAATTTTTTACTTTCTTAAAATAATATAAATAAAAGAAAAATCCAATATCTTAATATTATTATAAACATACTATAGATTAATGGTGTTTTTTTGTCTATTTAAATTATTTTAAAAATAAAAGATCAATTTAAATGAAAATCAAAATAAAAAAATAATAATAATAAATTTGTTCTGATGTATTTTTTTATATATAAATTCAATTAACCCAAAACCGAATAAATACTAAATTGAAAAAACAATTGATCATCCCACCACATTGTCTAAAATATAGGATGATATTGCTTAATTTTGAACTTTATAAACTTAATGAAAAATAAATAGTATCATCATAATTGAAGGACTTTTTTATATATTTTTGTTATAGATAGTAGTGTTTTTGGGTCATTTTTTTTATTAATGAAAATTAAATCCCTTACTTATTAGGTCAAGTAATCCATTTTTATTTTATTTTTTAAAACTTTATTGAATTAATTTTGCTTTTAGTGCCTTTAAAAAAGGGGAAAAAGAAGAGAGCGGGAAGGGAACGTTCGCGCATGTTTCATTTGTCTATAACAAGTGGAGAATTTATTTCCTTTAACGCTACTCCTCTCCACTCCAAATATTCTCTCTTCTGAAAGGAGATAGATCTGCGCGTTTTTTAGTTTTATTCGTTTCATTGATTTTTACAGGTAAACGATTTAATGATTATTATTTTTATCAGTTCAATAGATCTGATTGTTGATTCCATCTTCTATGTTTTCGTTTCTAATTTTCGAAACTGTTTTATTTTTATGATTTTAGATTCTTGTCAGCCTTGATGTTGTTGGTTTCTTTTTGTTTTCAAAAAAACGTTAACACAGACAATATGCTGTTAAAATTTTTGGAAACCAAAGGAAGTTGTGTTGTTTTGTGGTAGCGGTAGTGGTTCTCGGTTGGAAAATGATACCAAGCAAGCGGTTAATGTTTGGTGTGTGGAGTTTGGAAAGTTTAATAATGTTATTTTAAGACTTCAGTTCAGTTACCAAGTTGTTCGAGCCTTCGGTGGTTTTGTTTGTGCCCGAAGAAACTGGCAAATCAGACAGATGATTACTGCTTATATATTTCCTATTTCCATCTGCTTTGTCCTAATAGTCTATCTATGTTCAGTGCTGTTGTTTTAGATGTAATCATCTACAATTACGGATGGATTCTCAGTATACACGGAATTGATGTGTGTGTGTTTTCAGCTTATAGGCATGGCTCCTCCAATTGAGACTCCCGATAAACTTAATTTCTCTCGTCAATCCGCACATCCACCTCTTAATGAAAGGATACTTTCATCAATGACTAGGAGGTCTGTTGCTGCACATCCTTGGCATGATCTGGAGATCGGTATGCGATGTCAATATAAGTCGTGTGGAATTAATATTGCTTGATGATTTTTTTTCTTCTGTTATTGATAGAATAACATAGAACTGTTTGCTTTTTTGTTGAATCTATTCAGGACCTGAAGCTCCAAAGATATTCAACTGTGTAAGGATACTGAACCTCAACTAGCATTTTATTTCCTAGTGTTTCTTGGACTGCTTGTGTGTGTGTGTGTGTGTGTGAAGAGAGCATGTTGGCATGGATTCATTTTAGACAATTTTGTTACTAGGTATTGACAAGAGTGGTTAAGACCAGGAATACTCGTGCTGCTATATCAGGCTCTGTAGCAGAAACTCAGAAGTTGTTATATTCCATTAGCTGTCCAGCTGCCTTTTTTTTTTTTTTTCGGTGGTGCAATTGCTTGGCTGTTTTTAAGAGAACTCAATTTTATTTTATTTTTTGTTGGAAACCAGAGAACATAAACTTTACACAAGATAAAAACAATTTGGGTTCTCTCAACTCTGATGTACCAGAAATCTTTTCTTACACTAATCTTTGTCTTGTTGTTTGGAGTAGATGCAATTGAATTCTATTGGCAGGATTCAATTGTATTGATGTGTTGTTAAATCTGACCATTATTCCCTTTAACTAAAGAGATGGGATCTTTATTTAATCTCAGAGTAGTGTTATCTATAAACTTTCCCTCCCCTGTACAACCAAACGCCCCATCTTTGTCTTCCCCTTTATTCACTGACAGCATCTGTCATGACCTCCCTCTTCGAAAAATGGAAACCACAGCCAAAAACCTCTAGAGTTGCTCATCATCGTAAGATAAAACCTATAGTTGCATTCATACTCTCAGTTAACCAAGAATCCTTCAAAACCGGTACAAATAATCATAGGAAAAAAAACCACCAAATATTATTTCCTCTCTTATCTTTAAAATCACCATCTTTTGCCTATATCAAGGCTGCTAGAAGTCATACTTTTCACTGATTGCATCAGGCATACTCACCATTACATACACAGTGTCTTTTTACAGTTCCTTTTGTCTCAAACAACCATTGTGTTTTTAGTTGCATTATATCAATCTTTTGATAATCAGAAAAAATGCTACAACCACATCAAAATGGATAATTGAGAAGATATGGTGTAGTACACAAATCCAACTGCTCTATCTCATAAGCCTCTCTAAACAAGGAGTTGAATTCAACTCAACACAATTTTATACCTTCTTGGCTCTCTAAAAGCCTGTATATTCATGAGATTCAACTAAGCAACTTGGTGGTTTATATACAATAAAATTTCAAATTTTCCCTTTTGATAACTGTAATGTGGATTTGAGACTTGAATTTGAATATATGATTTCTGTATCCTCACCAAATATATAATTGGAAGATATGAGAACTTTGACTGACTGCAACTGGTTGTAAACAAGCTGTAGTCCTTTAGACGTTCTTGCTTTGAGCAAGGTCCTCTGACAACATGGCAAATTTATGCAGGTGGTTGAAATAGGGAAAGGCGGCAAGGTGAAATATGAACTTGACAAAAAAACTGGATTGATTAAGGTAGTAAGATGTGGTAATCTCCATAATTGTACCTTTCATTAATTTACCACAGGTTGCTAATTGGCTCTATTTGCAGGTCGACCGTGTGCTTTACTCTTCAGTTGTGTATCCCCACAACTATGGTTTCATCCCCCGCACCCTTTGTGAGGACAATGATCCCATGGACGTCTTGATTATCATGCAGGCATGTTATTTGATGCAACTTTTTCTCACAAACGTCCTTTTTTTCTTTTTTCTTTCGCGATTGCCATGCTTGTGTCTGCTTGCTTGCATGATTGCTTGAATCTTGTTGGTTCAATCTCATGTGCTTCTTTGAAGTTTTTGAGGTTTGCAACAATTTAAAACCTCAAAAAGAGTTATTAATTTATTTTATGCACACCATGAGTTCAGCACATGGGCATACATACGGGACGATTTTTGAAATATACAGAGCTTCTGGAATCTTTTATCATTTGAGAAAAAAAAAATTATTTATGCAGGAACCAGTTCTTTCAGGATGCTTTCTTCGTGCTAAAGCTATAGGACTTATGCCAATGATTGATCAGGTACATATCACTGGCTGGACGATAGTGTTTTCTCTTTACTGGACAAAAAGTTTTTTATTTAGTTTTATTTGTTGATATTGACAAACATAGGGTGAGAAAGATGACAAGATAATTGCAGTTTGTGCTGATGATCCTGAATACCGCCACTACAATGATATAAAGGAACTACCACCACATCGTTTAGCTGAGATCCGTCGCTTCTTTGAAGATTGTATCCTTTCATGAATTTCTCAATTTTTTGCAAGCCCGTAGAAAAGCAAAATTTTAGCAAGCAGACAATGTGCGCCATCTCTAGAAGCATACGTTTTAACCTTACACTAATCCTTATTATGAAGTAGTTGAAATAAGATTATTTTCTCTTCCTTAATAGCACTTTCAGACAAGAAAAATGAGAACAAGGAGGTTGCTGTTAACGACTTTCTTCCGGCTTCTGATGCCTATGAGGCAATTCAGCATTCAATGTAAGTGACAAGCCTCTTCTACTCTAACCCAAACATACATGACGCACCTTTAAGACATCGGTTTCCTGACGAGAGAAGCAGCTGACTTTGCCTTATTTTCTTATGTTGATTAAGCTGCTTAGTCTTAATATTTAGTCACTAGGTGAAAATGTATGTTGATCCTAGAAGCAAGCATAAGACATTAATTTCTTGTTGCTCTTAGTGTGTTTGTATGAAGGGATTGAAATCATTAAAGAACTAGTTTTTGAAGTTTAACTTATTGCCAAAACTTAGAACTTAGTTTGGTAACCAATAATTTCAGGGATAGGGTTTCCCTAAAATAAGACACTTTGCTTAGCAGATTTATTTTTTCCTTCTATTTTTCATGTTGTCATTTTATTGTTATTTTGGACTGTGGTTTTATACTCATGCAATTTTATGATATTTGAAGGAATCTTTATGCGGACTACATAGTGGAGAGCCTAAGGAGATAGATGCTCCATCATACGAAAAATGACAGGCTGATACTTGAAGACGATGACGATGACAATGACAATAAAGATTATGTTAGTGTTGTATGCTTCTCAGATGTAATGAATACCGAAGAAGGAAGGAAAAGAATTTTGATTTTGGCTTGACTTTATATTGATGCACTTATTGTTGTTTTTCCTTTGTTTTTAAACTCATTTCACTGCTTATGGCCGTGACTTGTTAATCTGTATCTACCATAGTGTTGATCTTGGACTTCTTCTGAATTTCGGATGCTTTTGGATGTAAGAAATGATAGTAATTATTTTTTTCATATTTTATATGAAAAAAATGAACCATTGTTGAATCTTTGTGAAGAAATGATGATGAGCTTTATGGCTTTCTTAATGAAGTATTTCCCATCTTACTTATAGACTTCCCTCTCACTGCCCCAGTTTGGCTAGCAGTATTTATCCATTATTAGACAGATCAATGTATTTAAAAAGTATGCTCTTTTCCACATTTGTGCACGATAATGACGATCAAAGTCTCCAAAACTCTTCGGTGAGCTCTTCAAAGGTTTAATCATTAATCTTCAGAAAATGCCAAATTTCGTGAAATGTTGTAAAATATAGAGGGAGCCTTGAGGCAATTGAAATTGGAAGATTGCAATCATTCCTTCTGAACTTCGTATGAGCTTTAATCCATCCGAAAATCGATTAAATAATTTTGAGTTTGACTTTTTAAAATTTTATTTTTAAAATTTAATTCATCCTTTAATTTTCTATCATAAACAACTGTCAAATAAATATCTCCTTTACGAAACATTGAAACTTATTCGGTAAGATTTACATGAATTTCCAAAAAAAATTGACGTAATAGGTTAGTTTTTAATTTTCTTGATTTTCTATATTTTTAATATTAAAAAAATATATACTTTATGAATTTGAAAATTTTTGGATTTTTCAGGAAATAAATTGGATTTTTCTCAATGTGTGAAACTTTTTAGTTCAAAATAGCAAGAATTGAATTTATTTTTTTTAGAAGGTGTGTGAATTTTGAAAATCATAAAATTAACTAAATCTCAAAAAAAAATAAGTTCAAATGAAATACAAAATTAAAAATTCAGCAACATATTTTCAAAAAGAATAAAATTCAAAAAATATTTGACCCATTTAGCCTATACAAATCGAATAAATTAGCTCTTTTAGTTTTACAAAATAAATCGAATAATCCATTTAATTTCAAAAATAATTACCTAAACATTAATGAACATATAATACGAAAAGATTGGTGAAAAAAAAATCTTTATTGAGAGAAAATAATATTAAAAATGGTAACAGTGGTCAAAAAATTAATTAATTATTTTTAAAAATCAGAAATACTATTTAATTAGTTTTGCAAAATTAGAAGAACTAATTTATAATTTACTCCACATATAAATAAATCTGGTAACAGTTCTCACAATCATAAGTGTCTTCGTACGACCGGCCTGCTTTCATACATAGCCAGGCAACACCAAGGTAACATCAGATGACTCCCCAATCAATAACTATTTCTTCAATTTAGTCCAAATTTTTTATTTTTAATCATTAGATTCCCAATACATCCAAGAATCCTCAATCGTGTCCTTTCCTCTCAGATGGTAGGATATTTGTTAACAGAAGGATCAATTTGAGAGCTCCTGTATACATTAGGGACTTAATCGATAAATAATTTTACATTAGGAACCCAATTGAAAAATATTTAATAGATTGCGGGCTTATTTTGAGGTTATTCAATAAAGAAAAATCAATCCTCATTTCCCCACCAAAAAATTTATATATATATATATATATATATATATATATATATATATATATAGTGAGCTAGCCAATGTTATTATACAATTAATGTCAGAACACATCTAGTCACTACACGGCCTATTATGCCAAAGAATGTTCAGATTTGCTTCTTCTTCTCTTTTTAATTGAATTCATGAATTTAAATCTATGCCTAATTACATATGAGTAACAAGAATTGAATTTTTAATTTTAATTAAATCAAGATATTTCTCGGTGATTAATTAAGAGAATATATTAAATCACATAATAATGATAAAAAGAACGCATTAAAAAAAAAAAATACTTAAGCTCAATCGATAACGAAGATCCTTATCATTGAAGTTGTTCCTTGTATGTTATATAATTTCCCCGCTACAGGCTCCAGGCTGTTTTTATAAGCAAAAACCCTCACTCTGCCTCTGCTTTCCTTCAACCCCCAAAGCAAAAACCCTCATATTATCTAATCGAATCCATCTGCGTGTTCGTTTCAAAGAAGCCAAAACACGAACACTATGAGCTCATTCACCAACTTCGACAATCTTCTCCTCCAAACCCTAATGGGTCGCCTCCAAATCCATCCTCCTCCTCCTTCTCGAAACCCTTTCCTTTCTCAATCCCTAGAAGACCTCCTTTTCAACGTTGATGACTCTTCAGATGACGATGACACCAGCAAAACCCAGCTCTCAAAAGAAGAGTCCAAGCTCGAGAAGGAAATCATACGAGTCATCCTGTCAGGCAAGACCGATTCACTGAAACCCAACTCTGGTCAGGCTGTTACAGTCGGCGAACATCACATCTGTGTTGGGTTTCACGAGGAAAAAGGATCGGATTATCGGGTATGGGAGTGGCATGGACATATCATGCTTTTTGATGAAGAGAATGGGTATACCCCTGAGTACATTTATGGGAATTACTTTGAGAGGCATCTTGGTAAGACTGCCGCTGCCACCGCGCCTAAGCAGGAGCAGGAAGAGAACGAAGACGAGGAGGAGGAGAAAATAGGGAATTTGGGGTTGAGAGAATTGATTGATGGTGGGGATTCTGCTGCTGCTAGGATTCTTCACAGGAATATCTGTGCGGGTTCTTCTAGGTTCGTGTATACATAACACTTACCTTGCTTGTGTTTATTTCCTTGTGTGTGTGTGTGTGTTTTTCATGTTTGTCCCTGTAGATTTCTAGTATTAGTTTCATGGAACTATAGAGATTTCTGATGATGTGTATGCTTTTTTTTTTTTTTTTTTTTTTTTTGCCGCAAGACTAGTTTGATGTGGTGGTTATTGTGCAGATCATACTGCATGCCTTTCGGGAAAAAATGATTTTTTTTTTTTTTTTTTGTGGCTATTTTGAATAAATCACTGGCATCGTGCCACACGTATAGGAAAGTTTATTGCAAGGATCGTATTTAGTCCTATAACAATGCAAACTAAGAAAGCAAGGGCGCCAGAAAATGGGTGTAGGGATAGAGATGGCAGTTATGGTGGCTTGAAATGGTTGCCATGAAGAAATACTTGTTGGAATTGAAAGTGGTCTTCAGCTTGCCACTCATAGAGTGGTAGTTCTGGAAATGATGTTCATTTCTTGTGTTCTAGTCATAGTGGAATCAGACCAAGTGCAGTTGAGGCAGGTTGGAGAAATATCGGAAGGGAACCATGTGGTTGCTCCAGTGATGGTAATAGACACTTTATTATTCTTATCAACAACAGTAGTGTGTCTTTGGTAACTATTGGATGTCTTGTTTCCATTTTTTCCTGCATTAATGCTGGAGGGGAGTCCCGTATCTCTCCGCTTTTGGTTATTGTCAGGGGTAAATGCTTTTGCAGAAGCACTTTTTGAATGCTATACTTCTGAAACTTCCTTTATTGTTATTAGACCGAATTTCTCGTCCTTATTTTGGTTCAATAAGTGAGAATTAATTGTGGTTGGGGTTAGTTTAATATATCTGGTTATTCAAATCCATGGTCTGTAGATTATCCATTGATGATGTGTATGAGATACTTGGCACTGTCTCAAAGAATCTAGTGATCAATAGAACTCAAATTAATAGTTGGCAACATCATTCGGGATAGAGAATCCAAGTGATGAGCTTTGCATAATTTAGATAATTTTTCTTGGTTATGAAGCTTGAGAGAGTCATAGAAGTGTTGATCATAGTTTAGATAATTTTTCTTTTTTATGAAGCTATATTTTTAGATCATCTAACTTTAAAGTGCCAAGATGTTTGCTCTAGTGTTGCTGGACTGTTTCTCAGATGCTATAAATTTAATCAAAGTTTGTGGCTTGACAAATATAGTGATCTTGATGGAAGGGTATGTGTGCATTTGATGGATGGATCATTTACTCATTATTCATGGGTAAGTAAACGTCATTGTTAGTCTTGACCAAGCATGTCTATAGGAAAGGCATTGAGGAATCTAGACTTCTGTTTCTGCCTCTTGAACCTGTGGCACTGGTGCTTTTGTTCTTCAAGTTGCTCTAGTTCAACTCTTGAACGCGGTGAATGCAAGGGAACTTGCATAAAGATTCTTGAGCAATGCTCTTTTTTTTTTTCCCAGTTACTGTAGTGTTTATTATTATATATGTTATATGTTGCTTTTCTTCATCTAGTCGAGGGAATCTGATCAAACTTTAGTTGCTTGTTGTTATGCTATGTTTCTTTTATATCCACAGGTGCACTCATTTGTTGGTTTCTTTTTTGTTATTCCCCTTCTGAAACGGACAGGTTCCATTGAATTCACTGTTTTTAAGTGGTTTTGGGTGTTCAAGTGGAGGCTGCATCCAGTATTTCATGCTCATCGCTGCATAAAGATTTGCCCTTTCGTTGTCATTTGCAGTCTGCTTATGGTGAAGTTATAGGGATCCATCTTGCGTCTTCCTTGGAATATATTTGAATGTCGAATATACTCCGAGTTATGTAGAAGAAGAAGGCTTCATGTTCAATGACTTGATTTTGTTTTACTGGTTTTTTATTCAAGATCAGCATAAATGTTGGCATTTTTATGTTCCCTTAATGTCTCAATCTTCCTCACACACGCTCCCGCACACAATTTTGCGAAAGTCCATGCGGAGGTGGCGATGATATAAATGCTCAGGTGATTTTTGGTGGATGGAAACCTTTGTGTTTGTACCTGAGCTTTTGCTATGCATCGTAGGCTAGGCAAAATTTGTATGGCTTTGATTGGAGCATTTCACCCCTCAATTGGAATTGTTGCTTTTGTCTGTGCTAGTCTTTTTTATAATTAATGTACAGTGTGATTGTACGTCCATCATTTATCTATGTCATCTTTTGTACTAACAATGGTTGTCATATCATGAGAAAACAGAAGCTTATTAGTATAGTCGTAATGCATAGCATTCCATATCTTCCCCTCTATATATTAAACATTTCTGAAGGCATTCTCTATCTTCCCCCCGAACTGGGGCTAAAGGGGTCTATGGCGTTCTGCTTGGTCGTCAAGTCTACACAAGGGGGTTTGTTTTGGATTTTGCGGTTTCTTTCAGTGGCATGGCTGAGGGAGCAGTGGATTTGACATTGCTCACCAAGTCAAGCCTGCAATGCGGTCGAGAGAGCTACAGCCTAGAGGGAGGGATCTTGTACAAAACAACAGCTGATTTGAAGAAGTGGGTTGAGAAGAGGAACAGAAAACATTTGGAACACGGTTGATTCATTCATCTGAAGGATAGAATGTTGTACACGGCGGAGTAAAAGTAAAGAGGGATTTCCATGGACCTAAACAAATCCTAAAAAGACACAAGATTTACCTACAAGCCAGGGCAAGCACATAAAAAGCAAACTACAGACATAGAGGGGGAGAGGAGGAAACAGATGAAAAGAAAGAACGACTAGAACTAAACACTACCACTACCCCATCACTAAGCCTTCTTAGGTGATTTGGTAGCCTTGGATGGTGACTTGGGCTCTTTGGCTGCCTTTTCAGTTTTCTTAGGCAAAAGAACAGGGTTGATGTTAGGCAGCACCCCACCATGAGCTATGGTCACCCCAGCAAGTAGCTTTCCTAATTCTTCATCGTTCCTCACAGCCAAAAGCACATGCCTTGGTATTATCCTGTTCTTCTTGTTATCCCTTGCTGCATTTCCAGCCAGCTCCAAAACCTAATTTATCCAACAATAATCAACAAAACTTATAATTATCAACAATAAATCAAAAGCTACTGCACAAATAAGCAAATTAATCACACAATTTCTTCCCCTACTACTTCAAGAAACCAAAACCAACATGTTCCAATTCTTCTGATTTCCAAACAAAAGTTACACTAGCCCTAAATAGATATCTCTAGAAAGAGGGATAAAAAATATTCTACCTCAGCAGCAAGATACTCGAGCACAGCAGCAAGGTAGACCGGAGCTCCGGTTCCAACACGTTGAGAGTAACGACCTTTCTTCAAGTACCGACCGATCCGACCGACGGGGAACTGAAGACCGGCCTTGACGGAGCGTGAAACCGGTTTCTTCTTTGGACCGCCTCCCTTCCTCCCTCCTGCTCCCTTCTTCACCTTTCCACCAGTCTCCATCACTACTACCCTACGATTCAACTACTTTCTCCTTGCTAGAAATCTCTCTCTCAGGAAACGCAGATAAATAGAAGCCTGACTAGATTTGTGAGAGGTAGAGGGATGGGTTTGGGCGGAGATAAATACGGGGCATGTCTGCTGAGAAATGGAGAGAACCTTTTGGTTTTCTGGATGGATGTTTTTTCACCGTTGGATTAGTTTTCATCGACGGTTGACGAGTTAGTGTTCCCGATCCGCGTATGTTGAAATGAACCAATGGAGTGAGGAGAGAGGTTTGAGTTTCAAAATGCTGAACGCCTAGAGAGTAATTATAATGGGAAGATACCATCAGCACACTTGTTTGTCGAGTAAATTATTAATTAATTCTTCTAGTTTTTGAAAAGAAATTAAATAGTTATTATAGTTTTAATATCTAATTAATTAATCTCTATTTTTTAAATCTAATTGTATTTTATTCTCTTTTTTTAATAAATAAAAAATAAGTAAAAAAATATAAAAAGATTGATGAGAAAAAAATACTTTATAAAATAAAATAATATTAAATTAATTATGGTCGATACTAATTAAAAAAATAAATAATTAATTTTTTTAAGAAAAAACCACTTAATTCATTTTGCCAAACTAAATAGAATAATTTATAATTTACTCCTTGTTTGTCTAACCACAACCATGCAATTTTTCAATTTTTAAAATATGTTATCAATGTAATTTTTTTCTTTTCAACATACAAAAGCTTTATTTAGAAATTAATCTATTATTCTACAGATATGATGAATTGTCACTGCTCAACATATATATAACTTTGAGATTAAAAAAATTAAAAAATGTGATGAATTGTCACTGCTCAACATATGTATAACTTTGAGATTAAAAAAATTAAAAAATGAGGCATCGCTCAGTTTTTATAGAAGACTAAAAATCCTAACAATGTACTACTATAAATAAATAAGTAAAAAGTTGATTATGGTTAAATAAATATAAAATCATTCAAAAACATTCCTTTAAAAAAAAAAAGTTAATCTTGTTTGTTTTTGTTTCTAAGTTCGTTTCTTGCCTGTCATTATTTATTCAATTATTTGGTAACTATATTTGTGAGTTTGTTTATAAGTAAAGTCACTGTGAATTTAGAAATAATTAGAAATTAATTCATCACGTTTGTTTATTCGAGTTTTTAAAATCTAAATTGACAAAGTCTAAAAAATAAGACTTGGAGGCATGTTTTCTTTTATTTTTAGATAAGGTCTGAAAACTATATCTTTTGGGGGGTTTGTGTGTCCTTGACTCGATTAAGGATTTTCGACCATCTTACTAATCTCATAAATTAAAATTAAAGATAAAAAATTATTATCAAAAAAACAACTCTAAATATCACAACCTTGACTAGTTAGCAAATACATAAAAAAAATTATAAAATTATTTGTGGAATCGCTTCAAATAGTCGTAAATTGTTGTCAAGTCTCAAAATCAACAAATTTCTAATATATATATATAGAAAATGTGCAAAAATAAAAATGTAAAACTTGAAGTGTAAATTAACGCAAGTATGATGGAAATAAAAGAATTAAAAATTTTGACTGATAATGAAGATTGTTGTGGTAGTAGTAATAGTGTCGAAGTGATGATGCTAATTGTGAAAATAGCGATAAAGTGGTGATTACATTGATAATCAAATGGTGGTGGCAGTTGTGTTGATAGTGAGATGATGGTGATAAAGTTAAAAAATTATGATGGAATGGTGATAAAATAATAGTTACATTGCTAAGATGATGATGGTCGCAACGACATCAATGATAGTAATAGTTAAAGTGGTTAAGTAGCTTAATAATTAAATAACAAAAAAGATATAAAAAAAAAAACTAAATTAGCAACAAATTGCAACACCTCAAGGATTATTAAGATTGTGTATGGTATGACTATTGCAAGTTAAATCAAGTTATTTTTTATTTTTTTACTCAAAGAAAAGTCATAAACGTGTTTAGTTAGAAATAAATTGAAAGTTTGTTATAAAATCGAGTTAGATTTTGCTTTGATGAAAAGTAAAAAAAAAAAAATGTTTTACCTTTTGACTTGTGGATCTTACCATATACTACCACTATTCTTTAAAAAAAAGTTGTGTTAAGTTATTTTTCAATCATATATAGTTTTAACTTAACTCTTTTTTTAAAAAAATTATTCATGAAAAAAAAATTTTTGTCAAAATTTATTCATCATGTGAGTAGTTAATTTATTTCAATAAAAATGTGGGGACAATTTATAATATGTTAGAAAAAATAAGCTTGGGTCGGGTCGCCCATAACGGATTAACCAAATAATAAAATTATTAAAAAAAACCAAGCAATCGTTATGCGAGTTGACATGGTGGTTATTTTCATAACTCTTACACACACGCACACACACAATAGAGAGAGAGAAAAAAAGATAAGGACAAATTAATAAAATAACATAATAAAAATAGAGAAAAATCAGTGTGAATTCTCTATAAAATTAGAAAAATAACAAAAAAGGTTGTCTTGACACTTGTATTGTGAAATCCGATCTAGAGAAACTACTTATATGTAAGTATTATTTGATCATGGACTTGTTTATTTACATTTATGATTTTATTACGTTGGCATCGAGCTTTTTCGGTAGTTTCTATGATCGGATGTGACCTTGAATTATCTAGTGTTTTTGATAGTTTTTGTGAGATAATTCTCGACGGCATGTCATGCTTGTCAATAAATTTGATTATTTATTTTCTTCTCCTTATTGGATCCAATAACAAACTACAGTTAGGACAAGTCTAGGTCAATCCCACGTAAAGATGGTTCAATTAATGTCCTTTTTTTTTTTTACTATTTCAAAGTAAAGTAAAAGGAAATGAAGGTTTTGGTTTGTTTAGAATATTAAAGGTAGACACAATTAAATAGATAGATGACAATAATAATAAAAGCCTTGGTTGAACGTGGATCTCCATTTTTGGTAACTCGTTGATCATTTATTCATATATTAATTCATTTTTATTATGAATATCCATTGTAAGACAATAACATAAATGCTATCTTTAATATTTCCTTAGTGATTTGTTAACCAAATAGATGTTATTTGATTAATTCCTAACTATTGAATAACTTAGTAGACGCTAACTAGATTTAATCCAACAAGTATTATTAATTGATACAAAGATAGATGAAGCTAAACAAAGACGCTAAAAGAATTTAATCTAATTTTATATTTTCTAAGAGATTAAACAAAAACCTTTTTATAATCATTAACCCCCGATTGCTACCACAACAAGTTTAGACAAGCAATTACAAACTTGAATACTTAGCTAGTAATATATCAAAATGACTAACTAACTAGCATACACTCTAATCAATTACTCATATAATCATATTCAAATAACATACAAAAACATAAAATACTCAAAAGAATAGGATTAGAGATAAAACTCATTTAGATCTCATAACCAGATCACACCAAAAGCTTTAACTTTTCTTCAACCATGAAAGATTCTTATTGATACATGGTTTACTTACAAGAGAATATTTCTTCTATCTATGGTGGCTAGAAGATGGAGGAATCCTTAGAATAAACCCTAACTTCTATATTTATAACATAAAGTAGGATTGTATCATACAAATGGCAACCCAACATGGACATACGGCTTGTTTGGGAAAAAAACACTCGCTTGTTTTTTTGTTTCGCATGGTTTTGGAGCCTTGGAAAGTCGACAAGCACATGACTATGCCTAATTTTCTCTTCATCCTATGTCCTTTAGTTTCTACGTGTGAGTTTTTTTCTTCTCATTGGGAAAAATCTCAACCTTGACACCCACACGGACGTCTCACTTTTCTTGCACAAACCGTGTTGATTGCTATTGTCCGTGTGTCTTCTTTACGGAGTATCCACATGGTTTTCTTCTTTGTTTCACATGATCAATAGCTTTTTCCTCTTATAGGTCACACGGTCGTGTGACTTCTTTGCTTCTTTGGTGATTTTGGCTTCTTATGCATTTTAGTTTGAGTTTATTCACTTCGATTTACCATTTTTCCTATAAAAATCCAAAATTATTAACTTGTTCTTATTTACCTTAGTATAACATTAAAAAAAAATTAGTAAGTTTAATGTAAAGCGGCATAAAAGTCGTGTAAATTATGCACCTATCAATTCTATAATTCTTAGAATGCATTTTTTTTATATAATTATCCATGTCTAATAGTTTTTTTAAAATAATTCTTAGAATTGTTTTTTTGAGATAATTCTTAGAATGCATGTGTAACTTATATTATCCATGCACGAGATAATTTTAATTATGTTAGAATATATGCCAGTATTGAAATTTATACATTCTTGGCATGAAATGTTATGAATTTGTAAGCAATACACAAATAACTCATAACTCTCTAGGCCTATAGTTTTAAAATTAATACATAAAACAGAAAACCAAAATTTCAACATCTATGAGATTTGTACCCACACTCTCTAAGCCCAAAGGACTAAACTAGTGCTTAAGACTAGTAGGCTAACATGTTATTTTATTTTAAAATTATTGGTAAATTAAAATTATTATAGGAGATCCATAAATATTTATTATGATTTTTTCTTTATAAAATAATAAAAAATCATAATAATTAAAATTTAGTGAATTAAATTCTAAAGATTTTTGAAAAAATCATCTATATATTTGTGAGCATGATGATGGTCTAGAATTGAATATTTTAATATTGTAAGGAATTTATTTCAATTAGTGTTATAAAAGGAGTAAGAAATTCATTAATGACAAATTTTAATGATATAAATTCCATTAAAATTCTCAAAAATATTTTATGCAATCATCGACATGGTTATAATGGTTTGTTCTATTGAATTTTTTAATGAATTACATGGCATGGACTCCTCTTTCGCTGCCTTTCAACCTTTATTCCGAGCTTACTAACATCTTTTAAAAGCACATATGGCATGAATTTAATAGTGTTAGCAATCTTTGATTTTAAACAACCAAGAAAATGAGAAATGGT